GTGCATCGAGCACTGCTTCCAATTTATGGGCAATTTGGTCGGCCTACTGAGGGAGCTATTCGGAACCTTGTGACTAAATTTCGAACCCAGTTTACATTATTGGACATTAAACCACCAACACGCAGACGTAGAGTGAGGACTGAAGAAAATATTGCGGCTGTATCCGCCAGTGTTAGTGATGACCGTGAAATGTCGATTCGCCGCCATTCGCAGCAATTGGGCCTCTGTTACTCCACTACGTGGAAAATTTTGCGACAGGATTTGGGTGTAAAACCTTATAAAATACAGCTGGTGCAAGAATTGAAGCCACACGACCTCCCACAACGTTTCCAATTTGGTGAATGGGCGTTGGCAAAGTTGGAGGAATATCCACATTTTGATCGAACAATTGTGTTCAGCGACGAAGCTCATTTGTGGTTGAATGGGTACGTTAACAAGCAAAATTGCCGCATCTGGAGTGAAGACCAGCCAGAAGCATTGCAAGAGCTACCAATGCATCCAGAAAAAATCACTGTTTGGTGTGGATTATGGGCCGGTGGCATCATCGGGCCGTACTTCTTCAAAGACGACAATGGCCGGAACGTAACTGTGAATGGCGAGCGCTACCGTGCGATGATAACAAACTTTTTTTTTCTCAAAATGGAAGAGCTGGACTTGGCTGACATGTAGTTTCAACAAGATGGTGCCACATGCCACACCGCACACGAAACAATGGCCCTATTGAGAGGCGAGTTCGGTGAACAGTTTATCTCACGTTTGGGGCCCGTCAATTGGCCGCCTAGATCTTGTGATTTAACGCCGTTGGACTGTTTCTTGTGGGGCCATGTTAAGGCTAAAGCCTACAGGGATAAATCAGCAACGATTGACGCACTGGAAGCCAATATTGAAGCATTTATTCGTGAGATACCGGCCGATATGTTGGAGAGAGTGTGCCAAAATTGGAACTTGCGCATGGGCCATCTAAAGCGGAGCCGCGGCCAACATTGACACGAAATAATCTTTAAACATTAAATTATATCGACCGTTCTATCGACTCAAATAAAGATTTAATCGTTTTTTCAAATTTTTTGTGTTTTTTTTGAAAATCAAATCCTATACATCTTAAAAAATCAACCGGTATTTTATACATGTTCCTGAATAATTTGCTAACTTGAGCCGACCGTCATCCTTCATGAACGTTGTGTGTGAGACGCAGAGTCATCCTAATTGACACCATTTTTTCTTTTACAGCTAGGCGTACGGCCTCACCCTTCGCAACTCGCTCATCCAGTACCAACCCCCACCATTTCTTACCGCCGACGGGCAGCGCAACCTACAGGATCGCCGCATCAGCGACGAGGCGCCGCGACGCCGGACGCCAGTGTATCCGAAATAAGCGTCGCCGTCGGTGCCGCAACGCGCCACTCCCGAGCCGATCCGACATCCATTCGAACTGTCACTTCATCCGTTCACTTTTTTTGTTTTCAAATAATTGCTTTGTATTAAACGTGCTCGAAAGTAATAGCAGTGGTTTTGATTTTGTGAAGTGTCCCGGCGTTATTACAGTGGGTTAGTTTTGAGGTGCAACTTTGAACAGTTGATATTATTAGGGGTGAATAACCTTGCTCTCTAAGGACTTGAAAGTAACTTACTTCGTGTTACATACCAATACTATGTATGTTTCTAAATAGGATCTTATATATTTCGTTACATATTTGATTGGGCTTATTTAGAACAGATAATTGATTTAACATATACAGGGTAGCGCATGGAAAAACGCTCAGACCCGTCGATTTTGTTTTCGAGGGGGACACAAGTATGGCAAAAAATCACGTTAACACGTGCAGCCCCCTCGGCGGAGGTGACACCAACCCTAAAATCTTAAATGGAAAGGGGGGTCGAGTGATACCTTATTTTAAAGGTGTTTCAATTTCCTTTATAATGACGTAAAATACATGACTTAGACTTTAATAGGTACATCAGATTAGTTTGTACTACTTTCAGAAGAAATTTGACTAAAAGAATTTACTTAATAAGTAAATGCTTTTCTTCACTACGCCCATGGTTTGTTTATCATTTGGTTGTTGAAAATAGCTATTGGAGCGTTTTTTTTTGTGGCAAAAAGTAACTTCTTGAAGAAAGATCAGGAAATATCTCGTACTCATTTTAAATGGGAATTTAGTCCATAGTTTGCGATTGATTTGACCAAAATTTGTTGCCAAAACAACTTGTAACGCTTTATTACATAAATTAACCATGGTATATTCCACAGCAGAAATAGTTGAAATTATCGAAATATTTTTCGGAAATAATCAGTGCGCTAATAGAACAGTAGAAATATTTAATAAGCGACATGAGAACAGTAATGTGCATCGAAAATATGTTCCAGAACTTGTAGCTAAATTTCGGGAAACCGGGTCAGTCGCCAATAAAAAACGCAACATTGAAAATCCCATAATGAACGAAGCAATAGAAGTGGGGGTTTTAGGGCAAGTTTGTGTAGATCCTACGCTAAGTACCCGCAAATTGGAGACTGTTGTGTTAGTCGACGTACTGTCCAACGGATTCTAAAGGCCCATAGTTTTCATCCGTATAAAATTCACCTGGTAGAAGAACTTAATGATGACGATTTTGATCGGCGATTACAATTTTGTGAAGATATGAGTGAACGAATTATAAAAGATGAACATTTTTTATTCAACACTTGCTTTTCCGACGAATGTTCCTTTTTCTTAAATGGCGTAGTAAATCGTCATAACTGCCGATATTGGTCCGATTCTAATCCCAGAATTTATCATGAGGTTCATACACAGCAGCCACAAAAATTAAATGTTTGGGCTGGTATTTTTGGCGATCATTTAGTTGGTCCTTTTTTCTTACCTGGAAATTTGACCGGTGAAATGTATTTGGAATTACTGGAAGACGCTATAGATCCTGCACTAACAGCCATAATTGAAAATCAGACTGATCGGCGGTACATTGCGAATAGGTTGATGTTCCAACAGGATGGTGCCCCACCACATTACGCATTACGTGTTCGACAATATTTAGATCAGACGTTTCCAGATCGATCGATTGGTAGAAGAGGTGCCATTGAATGGCCCCCAAGATCGCCAGATTTATCACCTTTGGATTTCTTTATGTGGGGTCATTTAGAAAGCAAAATTTATGCTACTCATCCAACATCATTAGAAGAACTGCGACAAAGAATTGTGAATGAGTGCCTTCAAATTACTCCTCAAATATTGCAAAATGTTCGGCAACGTTTTGAGCAAAATATTTATTATTGCACGGAGAGTCATGGTGGCCATTTTCAACATTTACTTGCCTAACGGGTCAGTTCATTCTTCATCTTTAAATTACTTTGCTGCCAAATGTATTGATCTCCACTAATGATGATGTATTAGTTTTATTTAAGCTTTAAATCAATAAATCTTCAAAACTTCTGAACTGAAGTATATTAATTTTATATCATTATAAAGGGAATTGAAAGACCTTTAAAATAAGGTATCACTCGACCCCCCTTTCCATTTAAGATTTTGGGGGTGGTGTCACCCCCGCTTAGGGGGCTGCACGTGCTAACGTGATTTTTTGACAAACTTGTGTCCCACTCGAATACAAAATCGACGGGTCTGAGCGTTTCTCAAAAAAAAAACTGAGCTGCTAGTAAATGCGTCTGTTTCGTTTTCGATGCGCATCCCTGTATAAAAAAACAATCTACTTTGCAAGGCTGCAAGTTTTCAAATTCGAATTTATGAAACTTATGCCAACGAATTTTGTACATCTTGCCATTTTTACGGTATAATTGCACATGTAATGTCAAATATTTATAGCCCATTCGCAGTCCATTTACACCTAGACAAAACACAACATGCCCAAAAGCGCGACTGTACAGGTCCGTATTTTCCTCAGTGGTCTTGGAATAATCGAACAAAATAAATGATTATTTTTATAGAAAAAAGTGCACATACTTTTCATAAGTTACTCGCTGTAAGTACTTGAATCATCATCCGTATGGTTAATATTAATTACTACAGGTTCAATTTGAATATCGATCATATTGTCCAGATCCCACATCTTTGTTTCGATTGCCTCTTGATCGTGACGGATGCAATATTTCCAATGGTTTGCCGTCACTCTGTTCTCAGCTTCATAAAACAAATTTTTCACGTCAGAAAACTTTTATGTTCTATTGCTTGAAGCCACGTAGTTTTTTATATTTGTTATCTACAGGGTGGCCCATACATGTAAATATTACTCATGAACAAATACATTTTGGGAAAATCTATTTATGGGATGTTATACATGACATATGAGGGCACATTTCTAAAATATTGGCCGTTATACAGGGTGTCCCAATTTTGACCTACATATCAAAGTTGTGATTTTACAACTAGAATGCCTCAAATTTTATTGCATATTTGAATAAACTAATTCAAAAGAAAAAAATTGCTATAACATACTATGAGGTTTTGGTAATTATCTACTGAGATATAAGGTGTTCTGTCTAGAAAAACGCCCCACCTCGGCAACCCCTCGGTCCGCCATTTTGAAAGTTGGAGTGCTGAATTTTGTATCCAAAAAAATTACACACCTCAGCTTTTATCTTGTTTGTTACTTTTTCGAATTTTAATTTTTGCTCATACAGGGTGGTCAAAAACGCAAATTGTAGTTTTTCTCAAAGATTTCAAATGCATCACCCTGTATATTTGTGCAAGTTTGGATTCAATCTTTTATAAGCTTTTTTGGTTTAAGGTTTGATTCAGATAAAATCACTAGTTTTTAAGTTATTAAGCTTTTAATAGAATAACACAGAACTAATAATATTACAAGCAGAGTATCTAACAGGTGCTGGTTCCAAATCTACCACTTATAGCTAAGATTAGAGTAGCTTTGTAGCTAAAAGAGTGTATGGATTATTCACCTCACAATAACTCCACTACGATATCACTGTTCAAAATTGTACCTTACTTGTTTTTCCAGTAAAAAGACTTGAATATCATACCAGTGACACTAACAAAATGGTGAATTACGTATTATCATTCTGCAAAATAACTGGCGCGAGCAAAATCTTCAAACGCAACTTTTACTTGCCTCTACTAAAACCTCTAACACCCAGAGAAGCCTTGCGAACTCTAAGAATAACAGGAAAATGGCTGCTTGGAGCCAAATACCAACATTACATCCCAGTCCTTCTGAATCACACCCAGCAAAGATCGAAACAAACCGAAGACTACGGAAAACTGCACCACGAAAAATCTGATGACTATACTTACATGACACCGGTGTTAGACCCAGAAAACGAAAATCATAAGATACTTATAAACCTTCTGGAAGCTAAAGAAAGCAATGGTATGTACGTCTACACAGTAAATGACAAAAAATACAACATAGTCTTCTCCACACAGTTTGAGGTAGCGTTAAGAAACGGTGAAATAATAGACGTGCTCGTCTCACAGAAGAACGATAAGATACTAGTTAAAATGAAAGACAGAAAAAAGATTCCAATGGAGATCCACTACTTTGAGGGAGACTCTGACAATCTTTACACCGGTGAAGCAGCAACAGATGAAGAGCAAGAGAAACACCACCACCACGGAAAATATACAATGGCGCTAGCACAACAATTTGAAGAAAAAGAAATGCGCGAGGAAAAATGGGAAGAGGCGCTTAGAAAGATACTGAAACGTAGAAAGAAAGTCAAGTGGGAGAATTCGAAAGCTTACAAAGAAATGATGAAGCGCAATATGAAAAATATGAACTGGAACAAGTTTGAAGAAGAAGCCAAGAAGGTCATCGACGAAATCGAGGAACCTACAAAAGAAGAAGCCATCGAAATGGAGGTTGAAGATTTAGAAGCCACGAAAAACGTCAATGAAACAATTTTGGGCCACGGTGAAGGAATGCTGAATCAACTACCCACTTTGACCGAAATTCCTGACATTATCAAAAACATGGGTAGTGCTAGTTTGCACGAAATTGAAGCAAGTCCTTCAGATGAGCAAAACAAAGGCAGGCGAGTAAGCGGGATCAAAGTAACTCTACCCTCGGGCAAAGAATGCTTTGTTAGTGGTCAAATGGTACTAACAGAGGAAGGTGAGGTGTTTGTGCCAGGACAAACAGTCCACAACGAATTCGGTGACGAGTATGTTCCTGGCATCACCACTGTGATCAATAATCAACCTACTCTGGTCAGTGGGCTGATCTTAGGAGAGCAAGACCAAGATCCGCTGTTTTTGCCTTCACAATCATCCATCACAGCTGATGGAACGTTAACCTTCACTTCGAATCCTGAAGAAAGGCCAGAACCTCCTGCTGAGTCCGAGAGAAAAGTTAAAAGGAAAAAGAAGGAACCAGAGATTATAGAGATAATTGAAGCTACACCAACCACAGAGAAAGAAAATCCTTTTGAAAACTACGATTTCGTGATAATTTGCGATAGCGATTCTGAATCAGAAGACAAATCCGCAGAGGTATCAAGTGAAGAACTGAACAATTCCGAACTCGAAGAGTTAGATATAGAAGCCATCAGACTGAGACAGGAACAACATAGGCTAGAGCTGGAAAAATTGAATCAACAGCTGTTTGACGATATGAGTGATATCATAAGTAATTTGGAGGATAAAAAGGCAGAGCTGAAGAGGAAACTAGATGAATTGAGGAAAAAACACATGGATAATCAAAACAACCTAGTGACATACGTTAATGAGAAAGACGCGATGGAGGTAGCATCTAAAATAACCGAGGACAAAGATCTTATAAATAGACTGTCAGACATCCTGCTAACAATGACCAGGAGATCAGCGACTTTTAGGGATAAAAATAGCGTCAGGTCGGATAATATTAACATCGACTGTCCAAGTTGCAACGCTTCGGACGCTGAAATTAGCCTGAACCAGTGTACGAATAAACTTAGGGCTCTGTACAAGACGGCTTTGGTTGCAGCTAACGACGTGTTTAAAAATAGACCGAAAGATCAATTACTAGCACTCACTACTATCGGCAATATCTTGTGTGGCCCGCTTAAAAACGACAGTAAGCTACTGAAAGAATTGATAAATATTATGAAAACTCAAATTGACCGTGACGAAATTTGTAATGCAGCTTTTAAACAACTAACCCAAGCAATAGAAGACACCAAAGTAGCTATGTTAAATAAAATTGTAGAAGAAGAAATGTCTACGTTGGAATTCAACGAGATCGTAGAAAAAATATTAGGTTCAGAAAATATTATGAACGTTGCCTTCCAAAAAATAACGAAGCTAGAACATAGTATAATAAAGAATGTTGTGGAAAATATTTCTAACCAATTGGCTGAAGTCAAAATGGAAGAAGACGCAGTGCGAGTTCTGCAAAAATCGATAGTGAAAGCGGTTAAAGCAATGGTAGATGATAGATATGCAAAAATCAGCTACAACGACTTCAAAGATGATGCTATAAGCTTTGCAAAAGCGTTGGATATGGAAGATGTGATAGATGACTTGCAAAAGTCGCGTAATTTTAGCGAACAAACGACTGATTTATTAAAGAGGGTGTTACTTATGAGGCAAATAGCCGAGAGGGACTATTCGTTGAGGACAGCGATAACTAGGATAAAGAAAAACCCTGAAGTTGCAAGGTCGGACCCGAGGATAAGACAGCTTATCAGGGAAAGTGGGTGCCTTGTGTCAGAGTTGAAACCTTTATACAATTCGCGAGGTATGCCGTTGAACTTGATGAAAAGACAAAACTTATTAGCAATTGAAGATTATCTTGTTAGAAAAACCAACTTAGACTATCCGGTGCTCATATCGCGTGGTGCTTTCCAAGCTATCATTCCCAAGGATGCATCCAGAGGAGTACTAGCAGGTAGGAATTCACTATCTTTTACTTTTGAAAAAATGTTTATAGGGTGACTTTGAAGTTGAGTCATTAATTTTCAGATAATGATTGTAGAAGGAAGATAAACCAAAATATGTGTACTACATTAACAAAGGCACGAGGGGTTAGTTGCACTCGATTGGGAAACCGATCTACATAAATCCGTGATGCCGCGTTACCGACTGACACATTGACTGAATACAACTGAATAAAATTGTAGTAAAAACATCGTGATAAGCGTTTCAAATTCTTTCGCTTTTTTGTTTCTGATGCGATGAACCGATAAGGCGGATTATATCCGTTGTCGCCAAACACGAGCACATAATATTATTATTGAGACAGGGCGGTACTCAAACTTCCAAAGGGCTATAACTTTGTGACTTTAATTTTACCAGAAAAATGTTAAAGGAAAAAAACATTTCTTTTGATCAGATCTACTCACTGTTAAAATAAATGACTCAACTTCGAAGTCACCCTGTAGAGAACATGCGATCTTTTTACTAACTTTTATTTAACTTGACCTGTTTGTTAGTATATCTCTAGCTGGGAGACTAATCTTGGAACTAAATTTTAAACAGTTAACCCTAGAAAATTGAGCTAAAATTTTATACATACGTTTGGTTTACCTGCCAATACAAAATAAGTTAACGGCCGCCATTTTGAGTTGGTTTGCGAAATAATTGTAGTCTGGTTTTATTGCTGTTCAAGGAGGTATTCAAAACATGGACGCATAAAATGGGCACGCCAATTTTTGTGGGAGAACTTTGTATTCGACAACAAAGAATGAGAAAACGAGTTTTTGGGGACTCCATCGAACGTGTTGGCTGGAACGAAAAAACTTTCCAAATAAGATTAGGTATTTATGAGACCTACCTAATAACAAGAATGTTATCGTCGGAAAAAAAGCAAAATGCAAGTTTTGGCACTTGGTAATGCGACGATAATTTAGACATGGACATGTTTTAAATATCCCCTCGAACAACTTGCACCAATAAATATAAAATTTGCTAATATGATTAGTCTATAGTCCCTATGATACGGGTGCCAAATGAAAGGGGTTGAGACAAACGCGATAAGCAAAGTGACGTCATTCTGGCGTTAATATTTATCAGTCACCCCTATGACATACTTATCAAAGTAAGGGCTTTATCAGAGAAACATAACAATCAACGCGATGCCGTTCTGAATATAATATGGCGGATACCGCGAAATGGCGATTTATAATTTCTATAGCCACTCCTATACTACGGGTATCAAACGGAAGGGTTTGATGAGGGAAACATAATATGTGAAGTGACGTTATCCTATATCCAATACTGTGGCCGCCGATGAATGACGATTAATAATTTCTATGGTCACCGCTATGAAAGGGCTTAATGAGAAAAGCACGATAAGCAAGTAACGTCGTTCTATATTACATAAGGCGATCGCAACAAAAAATTGGTTTATCATTATATGATCTATAATCCATCGAAATTTCACAATCCAGATAGAGTCAGAAGTGTTATAGAATCCTCTTAATAAATATATGAAAACTATATAGAAATTACCAAACTAGTTATATGATATCACAAATACTAAAACGTAAACAATAAATAAAACAAAAATACTCCTAAAAACAAGCTTTTGTTTACTTGTTCGCAAAATGAACTAATAACTTAAAAATATTTTTCCCCATGAGAATATTTAAACAATAATGAACCATTTTTTCATCCTGCTGTTAAAACTTAGCAGAGCTTTAATTTATAATCTTCATTATTCGGAAATAATTATGAATGTTTATGTCAATTTTATGAGCAGCTAAGTAAAAAATTATGTTATTTTATTTATTGCTTTTGATTTATTAAAACGACTCATTGGATGGATGAAGAATGCTGAAGAAGGAGACTTGATATTCAAAAAATTATCCCATCACACAATTTTTCGCCTACTTTCAAAATTTATCAGATTTACGTAAAAAGAAAACAATGCGAAATTCTTTGTCGCTCATAACTCCGTCTCCATTGGTATAGTAATAACTTCGTGTAAAGAGTGCGTTTGAAAACAGGCAGAAAAATGCTACTTTCAATCGTCCGACCAACGTGTACAGCGCTGTTCCATACTTATTGGCAATCATCAACACGATCTAATTCACTAGACAAAAGTATCCTCTACAGAAGTCTATCAGAAAACGATGGCACAACTGCCATATATTCACTTTCACGGTGGTCGATTCTGGCAAAAGATGACACGTTTGTGGTCGTATTTTCTCTGTTCTCGTTCGATGTATTTTTGGATATTTTCAAGTACACCATTAGACTTTTATGAGTCTGGTATTTTTTGCGATCAGAGTATGTTTTCACGGCTTTTGCATTTTATGTGTATCTAGATTACTTTTCGAACAAAAAATGTTTCCGTTTGTCTGTAGACTCATGGTGCGTGGGTATGTATAACCCAGAAAATTTGGCAGATGCTACAACTCGCTGAAATAAATAGGAAAGGTCATTTCCGATGTACAGTCCATTGATGGCGCACGGAATTAGACAAAAATTAATAAAAAATGGCGTATTCTATAATTTACAAGTTTTTAAAAAGTGTGGAAGCTTTATCGCTATAGTCTTACGTTTCTTAATAGGGTCTGAACAGTACGAGTATATCCGTAGTTTCTGGAGCGGAACATTTTTACCCGTATTTTACACAAGGTGTTACCGAATGCTGCCATGAAAATTCAAGGAACGATTTATGTATGTGAAAATATGAAAAAAGTTCATATGAACATAGATCCGGAAATTTATTTTCACGTGTATTTATGTTTAGCGAAAAATTGGACTATTTTACCACAAGCTTCTATTTAACTTGACCTGTTTGTATGACTGTAGACGAGACCGAGGATGGTTGACTAGTTTTTTACAACACCATACGTATGTTTTGTGCTTTTATACAGGGTGTCCGCAAAGTTGGGGTTTTCCTTTACACGACGTGTAGATCTTGAAAACATAAGCAATTTTTCTTAGTACCATATACACCAATGTCTTAAGGGAACCGAGATAAAGGGCTCTGCAACATCAAAAATATCTGAATACCGTCCTGTAGCCGCGACCCGGGACATCACCGATTGGTACAAGGTCTCAACCCGACGGCAGAACTGGGTCGGGGTCAGTGTGTCAGGTCAGTATGCAACCTTCAACCGACGGTTACGGTCACGCATGTAGAGGTAATCGCGTAGACGAGAATCCCTCAACAAGCACTAGAGACGTGGCTAGAGGACTGCAAATGCTGCGTGAAGAGGGGCTGTATCCGTTTCACGTCCAACGTGTACAAGCCCTTCAACCTGACGATTTTCCAGCAAGAGTGCGGTTTTGTGAGTGGTTGTTGCATCAACATGACAATAATCCTGACTTTTTGAAGTGTATATTGGTGACAGACGAATCTAGATTCACGCGTAATGGGGTGAAGAACTTTCGCAACATTCATGTTTGGTCAGTAGAAAATCCGCACGCTGTCCGTCGGGCACATTTTCAACAAACATTTTCGGTGAATGTTTGGGCTGGCATGGTGAACGGAATGCCCATTGGACCATTTATTCTCCCAAATCGATTGGACGGGATGCAATACCTAGACTTTTTACGCAACATTTTGCCTTGTTAGAAGATGTGCCATTAAGTGTGAGAAAGTCAATGTGGTTTCTGCGTCTGCTCGGTAGCGCTTCAGCTGATTTCATTTTCTGTTGGAGCGGTATGATTTCGGGCAGAGACGTACTTAGCCCTTCTCGTCAACTGGAGAGTGAGTACTTTTTCCTTTATTTTTTTTTTACTTGGTCGCCCTCGTTTCACTTATCAATTATCAATACTTTTGCCATTTTCTTATCTAAGGCACTTAAAATATTGTCTTGCAGATTAAGTAGGGCAGATGTTGTACTATAATTTTTTCTAAAACCGGATTGAGTGTCGGGAAGTATAAAGAATTTTTCTAGGTAACCCGTCAATTGGAACTTTATAATTTTTTCTAAAATTTTGGACAAAATTGGTAATAAACTGATAGGTCTGAGATCATTATACTCAGTGGGTTTCATTTTTTTAGGTATTGGAATAATTAGAGCTTGTTTCCATGTGTTTGGAAAGTAGCCTTTTTCCAAACAGTCGTTAAAGATGTGGACGATGTGATGGAGAATAACTGGCAGGCAAAGCCGGATCATTGACAGGGATATACCATCAATTTCCCTCGCATCAGATTTTAGTCTCCTTATTGCCTGTAATACGTCATTTGAACTAATCCTATTCAATGAAAAAATATATTCAGAGCTTAATTTATTTTTGAAATAGTTTTCGCAAACTAGTGAATCAACAGGTTTATAGCTATAAACAGACATAAAATAATCATTAATTTTGGTAGGGTCATTAAAACTTGCCGGAAGGGTTGGTTTACTACGAAAATTTATATCAAGTTGTTTGAGGGACTTCCACAATTTTTTTGAATCATTTTCATTTGCCAAATTTTCGATATATGTCTTTTTGTCCCTCCTGATCATGTTAAGAGCACGGTTTCTAAGCGATTTGAAGTTATTATAGGCGTCCACGGTCTTATTAGTTTTACATAAAGCTTGGGCAGTATTCAGTATCAAGAACAGTGCGCAGTTCATTAGTTAACCAACGTGATGGTGGCTTATTAACTCTTACAGTTTTAAAAGGTGCATGTTTATTATAGGTTTCCGCGATAACGCTTGTAATGTGCATTACCTTCTCATCAATATTAGATTTCGTAAATAATTCATCTATGCTTGACATTCATTCACCAATAATTTCAGGCAGCAGCGGTGGCCGCAGTAGTAGACTCTTCGCTCTCCTGATCAGTTGTCGTGCGCTGTGCGGGTTCGAGTCCCGTCCCAGGAGAAATTCTTCTCTTGGCTATAGATGTTGTGATTGTCCATAGGTGGTAGACGGTCTCTGACTGTCGAACGTGGAGGTACCACCCGGCGGATCTCGTAGGCGGAGCCAGAATGTGTGCATGTTGCATGCACACGTGTTCCCTCGCCAGAGTCCGTGTGGCGTCCCCCCCTTTCCCATGTATCCCCCTATAGCCCCACGGTACCCAATGGGTGTTTAGGCCTTAGGCCTTCGTGGTAGTTGGAATATAAAAAAAATTCTGTTGCAGGAAGGATCCCGTACGTGCTGGTGGACGAGAGCGGTGTGACGAACTTCAGACCTATGCACATGATGTCAGCGATCCAGGTGAACAAGAACCGCGAAAAAAGGATAGACGATTATCTGAGTGGTGTGCGCGAACGGGACGACACTAGCAGCTATTCGAAGAATCAGCAGAGTAATGTAAGGAGACTGAGAAAAATTGTGAACCGTCGCAAAGCTGCATGATGTACATAGACTCAACTTTTTGTAAATAAACTGTGTGTCTCATGCGTGGAGGTGAATCATATTTGAGAATTAGTGATTGAAAACAAGGTAATCATTTATTATTTACTCAATAAGTAATTTTCTTCACATACGATAGCTTTTATCAAGGAGAATGATTAGGGGGTTTATCTTTTTTTTTTTTCGTTTTTTGGCTTTTTCTCTGCCATTACTAGACTGACTAGCTTTGTGAGAAAATTTCATCGAAATCCGAGGTGCTTTCCAAGTTATGGACATGCCAAGGATTAGCGGACAGACAGATCGGCCTATGGAAATGAATGACACGGTTTTTCGTGATGTACAAAAATCTGCAATCGAAGTCGCACATACCTCCTTCATCTTCTGGCCTCCCAAAATACTGAACTGCAACGTCGCATTAGCGCCTAAGGTGGTTGAGCAAGTAGTGGCGAATTGATATGGACTATAGAAGAGTAGCGTCACTCCGTCGTTAAAACAGTTTTTGGCGGTGTCTGAAATTACATTGTGGTATACCAAATCTTACATGCAGTTAAACTGGGATGTCTGTGATATAGCAGCTAGTCAGGAGGAAGGTAAACATCCTGGAATGAAGGTCACCTGAAGGTAGTTGACACCGCAAAACACCGGATTGTTTTACGCGTTGCGAAACTAGCAGGAAGTGGGGTGATAATATTTCGATGCTCCGCTAATGATGTAAAGGCGACTATTGTTATTCTAACATATTTGGAATTTGAGACATCGTCGCTTAAGTTGTAACACCACTAAACGCAAAGAATAACTTATGTATACTAAGTAACATATAAATCCGAACACCGAGTTTAAATGATTTTATTTTAATAAAATTTTGTATAAGTATTTAATGAAGCATAATAAGTAAATGATAAACATTTCAAAATGATTGCACTGCTTTAAAGCCCTTTGACTTTTAATAATGTGTGGATGCACCCTGATGTGCTACGCATTCTCCAACGCGCCTAGGCATGCTTCTGATCAGGTGGTCAATGTCCTCCTGTGGTATCTCATTCCAGGCAACCACCAACTCCTCTCGAAGTGCTTCTAGAGTCTGAGGAGGACGTTGCAAGTTGAGCAATCTCCTACCCATCATATCCCACACGTGCTCAATTGGGGATAAGTCGGGAGATCTTGGTGGCCATGGTAACAATGTGACATCATTATGTTGAAAGAAGTCTATTGTGACTCTTGCAACATGTGGTCGGGCATTATCTTGTTGGAAAGTTGGATCTGCCAGGGTGTCAAGATAGGGTAAAAGATGGGGTTCTAGAACTTCGTGGATATAACGCTGCGCGTTCATGTTACCTCTGATGAAGATTAAAGGTGACCCGGAACCATAAGCTATAGCACCCCAAACCATAACTCCAACAGTGTGATGAACATGTCTTTCAACCAAAAACTGTGGATTCCTCCTTTTACCACGTCGCCTTCTAACCCTAGCACGACCATCGTGCATGCCTAAACGAAATCGAGACTCGTCACTAAAGACAATACTGTTCCATTCCTGATCCCAGAGTGACCGTTGTCTGCACCACTCAAGGCGATTACGTCGGTGTTCTCGAGTTAAAGGGAGGACCCAGTGTGGCCGGTATGAAAACAAGCCAAAACTTCTCATTCGTCGGTTAACACTTCGCGTGCCAATAGGTCTTCCGTGTTCTGCAAACCATTAATTTGCAATGGACCTGGTAGTGGAGAAACGGTCCCTTAAGGCCAATAATCTTAGGCGGCGATCTTCACGGTCTGTTGTTCTACGGCGGCGTCCAGTGCCCCTTGCTCTTTGCGTACGGCCTTCTCGAAGCCATGCCTGACAACACCTAACCACAGTGTCTACACTTCTTTGCACTCTAACTGCAATTGCCCGAAAAGAAAGTCCAGCTTCCCGAAGTCCCACTATACGGCCCCTATCAAACTCACTAAGTTGACGAAATCGTACAGGATGTCAAGAACCAAAATCCGCCAACGTTGATTCTTTACTGCGGCTGAAATATTTATTTTTAGAGCGTTAGTGAATTAAAAAAAAGCAGTATAAAAACCGGAATGTCCAACTGATAAGGCTGAAAATTGTTTCACTTGTTATTTACAGTAAGATAAATACATTCACCAACTTTTATTAAAATAAAACCATTTAAACTGGGTGTTCGGATTTATATGTCACTTAGTATATTTTAGATGAGAATGATCAGTTTCCAAACGTAACTATGTTCGGTAGCCTAGCATGTCTATTCAATACCAAACATCCAACCTACCATATCAGATTTAATCAAACAACCTGCTTCTCCCTGAATATTGAAATTTGAAAGAAATATTTTGCTATTCACAAGCCTGGAGATATATCACAAATAAAGATGTAATCTGCCTTGAAAATCGCACCATATTGGGAATTTAATTAAGCCTACACCTGATCAACAGCAATAACCCACCGCCACTGGAGGCAACCAAGCCAGGCGCCTCTATAGAATCCGGTACCTTTTATCTATAATTTATTGCTCGGACATTTTACCTTCCAGTATCAATCCTGCTTTTTATACCGTCTTCGGTGCTAATACAACGTTGCAATTCGGTATTTTTGGAGGCCAGAAGATGCAAGAGGTATGTGCAAGTTGGATGGCTCATCTTTGTACATGCCATAAAACACCCAAAAAACTCATTTTAAAAACGTTTAAAATACCAAAATAGAAACGTTACGTTCACATGAATCATTGAGATATTGTGCAACACCATTTTTTGCAGATATTTCACATTTCAAAAATAGAAGATAACGAATATGATTCACCGCCACTTGTATGAATGTTTGTAGTTCAACTGGAACATTTTGAATTCTCCAACTCCATTGTTTTTCCAAAACGCATCACAAACAAAACACCGATCACAAGATACCCGCATTACAGACAACAGCCCACACCAATGCAAATTCTGAATAGCAAGGTGAGTCAGTTTTATAAGCGTGAGACTTTTCAGATTTATTTTTGTAGTTTCGTGTGTAAATTCGTCTGTGGTGCTATTTTTGTTTTTTCTTTACGTTCGGCGTAGCTATTTTTGGTTTTTAGTAATTTGCGTTTGTACATGTTTGGCTTAACTCATAATTATGTTATATCGTAAAATAAAGGTGTTCCACAGATGCAGTGTCAGATGGTATACACATTTCCTGAAATGCTTTTACAGGGTGTTCCTTAATGATGTGCGAATATTTAAGGGTGTGAATCTAGATGAAAAATTAATGTTAGTTTGCTTTATAAACTATGGTCCAAAAATGTTTCCTTACTCGGGGTGTTGAAGTTTTAGGAAAAAAATGGAAATTAATTAATATTTTTAGAACCGCTTCAGATATTTGACTGATATTTAGTACGTAGTGAAAGATGATAATGTTGCATATTTGTCAATGCAAAAATAATTTTTAGTTTTAAAAGTGGCTAGACACTTAAATATTTGCCATCAAATTGTTTGGAGAATTTTAGTGGATCTTTTGTTATATCCTTACCATATTTTAAGAGTACAGGCATTACTTCCCATTGATTTTCCAAAGCGTGTGACCTTTTGTCAGTGGTATCTTCAAAAAATTACACAAAATCCGCAATTTGCGGTTCTGAAAATATTAATTAATTTCCACTTTTTTCTTAAAACTTCAACACCCCGAGTTTTTGTAAGGAAACATTTTTAGACCATAGTTTATAAAACAAACTAACATTAATTTTCTGTGTAGATTCACACCCTTAAATATTCGCATATCATTAAGGAACACCCTGCATATCTATAAACATGAATATACTCTATAAATCTCTATCCACATACTCACCTCTCATTACAGCAAAAATGTAATTGGACTGTGAGATGCAAATTTACGTTTACGTTACGAAAGCTATAAACATTGGAGGCAAGTTCTAGAGAACCTTTTTTTGTTCAGAATGTCCTAAAAGACCTAAAATCTGTTTAAAAAGGTTTTGACTGACAACATGCAGATTAGTTGCCTTTTTGAAAGAGATTATGCAAAAAATGAATCTTAATATAAACAAAAATTAACAAAAAAGTTTCTTTTATGTTACGCTTTAAGTTGTTATCCGACATAATGATTTAAGCGGGTGGTAAATATGTTCAGTATAATACTACGAGCATTACACCGCTATAGTTCATATGAAAGGAAAATTGCAAATCTTTACGTAATTGTCGCTCATAATATTGATACCTCAATTACAACACGTCAAAATAAGCGTGAGTACTCGATCGTTGCTTCTATTCACCTGTCGCTGCCTGCACAGGCATTATGTGGACCGAATTTGAACGTCGCGCGCTGGTGTTTGTGATGACATTTGAATACAAAATATACTCGTGTACTCACACAAATATTGATAGAAGCCGAATGAACTTAATGTTTATATCGGTCATGCCTTATATGATGTACAAAACCTGACCATTTTATCACTGAATTCTACTAAACATACGAGCCCCTTCCCACTTCAGTTGGCCCACTTCAAGATTTGTACCAATATATGCCTTTATAAACTAAACATGACGAAACTATTTACTTCTAAAACAATTTATTTTCTTAAAAACAATTTAGATACACTCTAGTCGTAAAAAATACATATTTGAAATCACTTAGACCTATAACTAATAGAACATCTGAACAAATAAACAATGTGCGAATATAAGCGCGAAATGAACAAAGCAACAATTGAAAGATTACCATTGGGTAACATCACCTTTATATTTTATTACGGCTGAAATTCTTTGGGGCATAGTGTTAACCAAGTTTTGGCAACAATCCCATATTTATTGAAGCTTTTGTCTCAGTTCGGTGATTATACGAGCAGGATGTTGTCGTAGAACCTTTTTCATCTCGTGCCACAAAGTTTCAATAGGTGACAGATCTGGACTGCTAGAAACCCATTTCAAAAGTGTTACATTACTTTCTTCCATCCATTTTATAGCCTTTTTTGAGGTATGGCACGCTGCACCATCTTTCTGAAACAGAAAAT